CATCAATACATTGCGGTTAGCTGAGATGAGCGGGGAAAGGACGGTGGTGAGGACATGTAACATCCAGCGGAAGTACCTTAGGAGGAAATCGAAGCTGGTCGTTAAGTCCAAGCCCAAACACCTTGGAGAGACTTGGTACTGAGCGAGGTACTCAAGGAACGTCTCATGTCCTTGGAGGCCAAGAAAAAGGTGTCTCGCCCAAGTGGGTTGCGGATCTGATGGCTGCCGAAGATGAGTACGAGATAGAGCTGTACACGGTAAGAAACATACATTTCCAACTTTATTATCTATTTCTATCACCCTTTTCACAAACAGCCGTCGTCCCATTCAACACTTTCCCATTCTTGAGGAGCTCCCTAAAAGATTTATCCAAATACAACAGCCTGAGGTGGACAGCAGCAGAATATTACCTTGAAACCTGTGTACACTCCTGTACTTGAGGGAAAGCGTCCATAATAGCCCCCCGTACGCAGGCCGGGAGCTCATATCTCCTCCCGAAACCGAGGCGTCCATAACACCACGCCACAAATGCGCGGTAGGCGCAATAACGAAGGGACCTGAATAGCACACATTTCAGATTTGCAGCCACCTTTTTTGAAAGAAACCTCGCCTGTTTTCGTCCACAACTGGTGCCTTTGCCTTCTTCCTTTCCACCCTTAGGTTGACCAGCAGTACGCGAAGCGTCTGAATTACGTGCAAAAATACCTGCACCATCGGCTATCAGATCTAGGCTACCTCAGGGTCCTAGCACCACTTTATGAAACGAAGGATGCTGGACAATGCATTCTCCACCGTCCTTCAACTTTTCTCGTAGCCCTCTCGACGCTTCCGTGCCCTGTCCTTCTTCCAGTGCTTCTCGACAGCAAACGTTCTCGCGAATCCTGGTGAACGACTTACAGGATCCGCACGAGCACCACTGCTGGTTTCCCAGCCTGGATGGGGGTAGTTCCCTACCCAGAAGAAGGCATAACCTAAAAACACACTCATACTTATTGATTTCTATATTGATTTCTCACCTTTCATTATCTTTAGCCTTTCTTCGTGCCTCCCTCCCTTTCCCTCCTCGTCACTCTCTCCACCAGTTCCGGATCAGGATTCCCCATCGCAATGGGACATGGGATTCCCCTACTGGATTCCATCACTGAAACTGGACTACAGCTGCGCTACAACACAACTTCGTCAGAAGGTGGGAAAATTCAATTTAACGAAATAAATCAAGAGTGACTGGAAGTGCACTACAGTGTGAGTGTGTGTGTGTGTGTGTGTGTGTGTGTGTGTGTGTATACATAGCGTTGCCTGGAGCGTCACGTATTTCCTAAGCTCTTGCCGGGAGCTGGTTGCACCTAGAATCTTGCTGATTGGGCTTGTCCTCATAATGAACTCGTCCAGATGGAGGGGCTGTGCTCGTGGCGTTCCCAAACTTTCTGCTTCTTTCTCAGATGAAGAGTTCTTGATGGGCTTGTTCATAACCGAGCACCTGCTACCTGTTACACGTGATCGCGGGAATTTTTTTCCAATCTTTTTGCTCCTGATGTCGTCTCCAGAGTAATGACTGGAAGGTAGCCTTGTCAAGAACCAAAAAGTGGGTCACTTCTATCACTGGCGTCTCGGTGGTCATTGAACCTCTCAACAAGCGCCGGCAGCGACGTCTCCCTGTAGCAGTGCGACAGAGAAGTGCAGTGGGCCATGTGTGCAACGTAGAAACGGCGCATTCGCTTACCCCACTTGTGCAGAGAAGTCTAGCGAACGAGAAGGAGCTCTCCTGATGATTATTTCTCGTGGGAACCTTTAGGAGTTTTCAAACAATCTGGACCATCTCTACGGAAGTATAGCCAAACGACGGTTTGCGACGGAAAATCTGTTGCAAACCATCAATTAAACAAAAATCAAGAGCGTTATTGTAGGGCTATTACTGGCATAAAAAGTACCAGAAATATTATAAACTAACTTCTGCTAAATACTACTCCAGAACTACTATTTCCAGGAGGATATAAGTGGTCCAAAGACATCTTTTTCAACATTATACTCCATAACTAGCATAGTGAACAGGAGGCAAAGAAGATTCTCGGCTTCTTGAATTCTTATAGCTCCAGATCCTGGAGAGAGAGATGGTGAGCAGGGGAAGCACGATATCTCTTCTAACGAACGCTTTTACGAAACGACAGTAGTCGGTTTACTCGGTTTACTGTGACGATCTGAGGGCAGGGTCATGATAATGGGTGGAGGGGTTACGTGGCAGAGATAATAGAACGCCAACGTTCACTAGCAACACCGTTCTGTTCATTGGATCCTTCTCAGAAATTTTTTAGTATTGACTCGGTGGTTCAACACCTTTATTCTCCTATCCTTCCAACAGAGCAAAAAGCGCTCTGGCTATTCCAGAGCGCTTAAATATGCCAAAACATTACACCAATGAAATCTCCCATTCAATCAGCCAAGAATGCATAAACATTGCATAGAAAGTCGCGATTGCTCGCGACACTGCGCCCGCAAAGGCAACAGGTTCAATCAAACGGTATCATAAAGGTAAGTTATAAATCAATGCAAAACCAGTCACACAAAGCAGCGCATATCAAATGAATCTACCAAAATGTACAACTAACCAAAGCAAATGAATCTACCAGATATCATCGTTGTCCAACGAACAGCATAGGTGAATGCGACGTTCAAGCGAATGTCTTCGTCCAGCCAGCCACAGTCCCGCAAAGTCCATCAAGCAAGCAGAGCCGAAAACGTCGAGAGTAGCTGTTGCACAGAATAATGCTGACGAAGTAAACAGGGGCGAGTAGCGCCGAATTTCAAAGGAATACAAGGTGATGTCGAGATGTTTCTTCGGCGGCAGATCGATAAGCCGACAGCGAGACCAGCAGGCAGACGGTACGGTCGAATGAATACAGTCGCAGTGACGAGAATTGCGGATGGAATGAGTGGGACGAAGGTGGGGGAGGGGGTATCACTGCGGAACGGGCGGCGAGGACGACGTCCGTTCCGGGCCGATGCACCAAACTGACTCGGTGGTTCAACACCTTTATTCTCCTATCCTTCCAACAGAGCAAAAAGCGCTCTGGCTATTCCAGAGCGCTTAAATATGCCAAAACATTACACCAATGAAATCTCCCATTCAATCAGCCAAGAATGCATAAACATTACATAGAAAGTCGCGACTGCTCGCGACAAGTATTGAATGAACGGAAACGGCTCTTTCTGTCGAGCTTTTTCTCAGAAGGGTACTCTCAGCGTGAGGCAGAGGTTGTGTAGCGACAACCGGCTTCCTTACCACTAGCGCGGTCCTGAGTTCGAATCCCAGGTCGACATCCCGCCCAGGCCAACCAAGCCTTCTATCCTCCGGGGACGGTAAATTGGTACCAGATTCGTCTGGGAGGGTAAAGTACTGTCTTGTACATCGGATAGCCCGCAAGTCGTAGTTGATAGTCCACATCGCATTCATTGAGTCAAATTCTGAATATAAGTGGAATTGTGGCGCATTCCAAAAAGGGATTGAGCAGCGGCGGAAACTTTATCCTTCCACTTACTCTTACCGCACTTTTAGAAAGGCATTCTCATTGTACTACCACTAGGACTGAGCAGTGATACATGATTGTGAGTGATATCGTGATGTTTATCAAAAGGATAGTGAGGAGTGAGGTTCAAAATCATTGCTATGTGGTGAGGTCGAGATGGATGGCACGAAGGAAGACGAAGAGAAGAAGTCGAAGGAGGCCGCTGCGCCAAACGTGGCAGCTGGAACTAACCATAAGGTACAGCTTCTGATCGTATTTTTCACTAACTTCCCAAATGGGACAAATATAACTTGGGGGTGCAATGTGGCTGCCAAGATTTTCACTTCATGTCATGTCTGTCTTCCCATGCCTCAAAATGGGCATATGCCCCACCCTCCTACTCGTTGGGAGAGTACTCACGTTGAGAGCACATGACGTGGATTGTTCTCACCTTGTGATACCCCTTCCGCCCCCATTCCCCCCCCCCCCCACAATACTTATCTTTGGACTACTCTGAACGTATAAATCGGTTACAGGAGGAGGCGACACAACCATTAAAAAGGAAGAAAGGCAGACGGAGAAAGCGGAAAGGTTGGTTTTCATGCTTATGTCTGCATTTTTCATTCTTTTGTTCTCTATAGGCCTTCGCTCCCCTCTCTGGTATGAGCCGCAATAGCAAATCGTAGTAATGGGGTTCAGACGGTGCGACCGACCGTCTCAGCTACCTCAACAGTGAAAAAAAATAGGAAACCGTCGATGCCCTCTGAACCACACCGCTAGATAGCGATGGTAAAATGAAATTATGAAGGGTGCGAGTATGAACGTGGGCGGAGTGTGCGAAGCGTGGGCACAGTTCGAGCGCTCTTATCAAACACTTTCAAGTGGCAAAAGTAGAACATCTTCCTTGTGAAAGGACGGGATCGTACACGCCAGCTAGTCGTGGGTTGTGCTTCTGGGAGGCTGGATAAGCGACACTTAAAGCACATATTCCAGGTGATATGAGTTTCGATGAAGCCGAACTGGTAAGTATGGTTCTGTCCACAGAAAATTACTCCGCTTGGGTATGCGGTATTCCTACAGCTTTTGTGACTACGACGATATCACCAATATAAAATCAATTAAGCAAACGCATGCTGTCGCGTGCACCGTATGGTATCACTTAGGAACCAGTTTTCCGAACGTCTGCTGCTCGAGAACGGCATTTCTTTCCAACTGGCCCTTCTCTATGTTGACTGTACGACATATTTCTACAACCTTTACAATTCTTTAGCCGCAAAAGAGAAGAGCTGCTTCATGGTTCGACCCGAGAGCGTTCCACACCCGCATGCAGCCTTTGAAACGCCTCAAATGGTGCTCACCAGTGTTGTTGATGATAGATAATCATCAGTGATAAAGCCATCTGCTACTCCTCATAACATCTCTGTAAACATCTACCATTTATCTGGAATCCAATTAGTTTCACCGGTCTGATATCATCTCATGGCTGGTCAGGGACTGAACGGAAATGAGGTGTGCTTCGAACACTGAAATTCATGTTCATTTCGT